TGGTAACCAACAAAGAAAATTTCCTTCTATAGATAAACCTTTCCTTAACTTTTACAATAATGGACTAATACAATATTTTGCTCAGGTTTTTTATTGCTTGATTTTGTTTTGATATATCTGAGCAAGCAGGGCTGGTGTGCTACTCTATTTGCTAGTTTGACAGTACTTAGCAACTCACCACCTGTCTCCTGGTGGGTTTAATAGAGGATGTGAATGTATACATAGATCTCTGTTAGCTGTTTGTGTAGAACAATTGAGGATGAATAGGGCTGGTATTGGCTGCTGCCTGTCATTGATCAGTTGGTGCAGAAGCAGAGGTGATGGCACTTGCCCACTGGGTGGGGCTAGAGTAGATGTTGATGTGGCTGGGTCAGGTAGGTATGGTTGCTTTCTGGTCGTCAGCCACCAATGTGGTTGCTCATGTGGTCCTTGGCAAGAGGAGCTGATTACTAGGTTGCACCCAAATTGGAATGCCGTTTGCAAATGTTCAAAATGGTCACACTTTCAGGCCAGTTAAAAGTCCACAGCACAGTTTGTGTTTTTATTCGCTGTTTTCATTCAGTTTCTTCTACTAGTCAGTATTTAATCTACTTTTTTATCCTTCATTTCTTTGTTGTAGAGGGTCTAGCTAGCTTGTCTGCCTATTCTGCTATCTTGCTGGAAGTCTCCTTAAATTATGTTTTGTTTTGATATAATATAATGTTGTACCATTAAGAGCTGTGAAATATACAAAAATTTTCATACATTGAAATTTTTCTTAAGTATTCCAGTTTTACCCCAGATGTTCATGTTTTTCTTTGATTAGCTTTCTTTTTAGAAATCTCTAGTAGACTGTGGAATTATTTTGTCCTGGGTCATTGTTGCTTCCCTTGCAATGCAAAAGCACAACCACTGCTGTGGAGTCCGATCCAACTCTTAGCGACCCCTCCTTGGGTTTCCGAGGTGGTATCACTACGGAAGTAGATTGTCCAACCTTCCTTCTGGGGAGTGGCTGGTGGGTTTGAACCGCCAGCCTTCTGGTTAGCAGTCAAATGCTTTAGGCACTACGCCACCAGAGCTTCCATTGTACACTAAGCTCCCTGAGAATGTTTGGCCTTGGGTGGATGCCAAAGACAAGACTGGCCTATGGAAACTGGATAGTTACCCTGAGGTTTGGGAATGTAAAGCAGGGATTAATTGCAGCTTTTAGTACCTCATACTGTAAGGCACATAACTCTAGTTGGTATCATGTCTAGTGGCTGAACTTATCCCAACTCTGACACCAGTTTTATGACTGAGCAATGGGCCACTTCCCAGACTCTTTGAGTCTGAGGTAGGTACTCCTCCTTTGTGCTCCCATGGAAACCCATGCCATATCATGCCCTGTGCCCCAGTATTGATTTGTCTTTGTGTGTAACTAGATGATTGAATTAATAATTTATTTCCACAAAACTTGCCCAGTTGACAAGGAGAAAATCTAAATAACTTTTTTTTTTTTAAAGGAGATCATCTTTCAGGTTATTGAGATCTAAAGTCAACCAGAGAAAACAAGAACAAAAACAAAAAAACCACTTGGTTTGAATTGAGTAAATACAGTTATTAGAAGTAAATATGGAAAATGAACCAGACCATGAAAATATGGAGCAGAGTCTTGGTGCCAAGAGTACTGAAGAAGAACTGAATAAGTGTTTCAGTCTAGAAGCTTCACTTTCAAAATTTTCCTACATAGATTTGGACAAGGAATTGGAGTTGAAAAATGATCTGGTAAAAACTTCAACTTTTTTCAAGTGATGACATTTAACCAAAGTACTGGTTCAAGTATGTTTTATGACCCAAAAGAATCTCAATCTATCATTTTTGCATGTTAGGAGTCTCTTTACAGTTTTACGAGATAAAATCACTGTTTATTTTCATCATTCATTACAGTTCATGAAACACTTTGATACATGTTCTCATGTGAGCTTCACAGGTCTCCTACCACTCTATGATAATCCATTTTTAGATGAGGAAGCTGAAGCTCAGCTGTAATAAATGCCTTCTTAAGGTCATAGAGCTATTGGTAGGTTTAGAATTCATATCTTGCATAGTGATTCACCCCCTCCTTGATTTGATACTAGTTGATAGGTTTCTGTGACTGTGAGAATATTTAATGACAAGTTGCTTGACCTAATCATCTTACCATAATTTATGAAGTAACTAAGAAATGTAATCTCAGACTTTTTTATATCATTTATGACATGTGTGAATTTAAATAATTAGGGGTTGTCATAAGACATATTGTTTTGTCATGTTTAAGAAAGCAAATGTAAAAATCTTTCAGCAGAAGCTTTCTGGAAAGGGCTGTGAGGATGGTGCAGCCAATGTATATTTGCTTTTGATAGTCATCAATGTATAGATTAAAAAACAAAATAAAACCAAGCTCAGTGGCATTAGGTCGATTCTGACTCATAGTGATCCCCATTGGGTTTCTGAGGCAATAAATTTTTATGGAAGTAGATTGCCTACTCTTCCTTCTGTGGAGAGGCTGGTGGGTTTGAACTGCCAACCTGTATATAGATAGATAGAAAAGGAAATATTTCTGAAGTCTTTTAACCTGACCTTTACTGCCATGGATTATTGAATTGACTGTATGATCAGATTGGTGGTATGTTTGTCTCTTAACTGGTAATATTTCTAATCACTGAAAGCACTCTCATAGTTATGAGGGGGAAGCACCACTAATTGAACATTAATTTCCTTTCTCTGTTTAGATCGATGACAAGGAGTTTGATATTCCTCAAGTTGATACTCCTCCAACACTGGAAAGCATCCTAAATGAGGTAGGTACATATTAGTAATCACTCATAGCGTTGATTTTAATATTTAAGGGTTGGTTATAGCATATGTAGTCTAGATCTGCGGTATCTCGTATGGAATCCACTAGTCATGTATGGCTATTTAAATTAATTAAAATTAAATAAAAATTAAAACTTTAATTCCTCAGTCACACAGGGCAGATTCCAAGTGCTCAATGGCCACATGTGGCTAGTGAATATAATAGTAGACAGCATGGATACAGAATATTTCCATTATTGTAGTATGTTCTGTTGGACAGCACTGGTCTGTGAGTTTTCTCAAGAGCAGAAACCATGTTTTGTTTGCCGTTTAGAGTCTCCATGCCCAGCACAATGCTTGGTGGATGGTAGAGTTTTTTTTTTTTTAAATATTAAATGAATTAAAATATTAATTATTATTATTTTTGAGGTTTGTATTCTGTGTTGATAATGATTAATTGAGCTCCACCAGAATCAGTGATAGTCAAGTAGCTCCCCTTCTGATAGTTGTGGTGAGTATTAGCACTCCTCGGAAGGAAGGTTGGGCAATCTACTTCCATAGTGATACTGCCTCAGAAACCCAAGGAGGGGTCATTATGAGTTGGGTCTGACTCCACGGCACATAACAACAATAGCACACTTTTCTATGACTAAAGCAAAACTTCCATAGTTTACCTGATGAGTGCTAGCTCTACTGAAAAATGTTTCAGAGTTTTGAAATGAAGGTGTTATTTTATGAATTGGCAGATCATAATGGCTTTTATAAAGGAAATTTATGAAAGTACATGGTGGGTGAAGTTATGTTTCGCATCTCCAAACAACTCTTTGACCCAGTCTTCTCAGTCTTTTAAAAACTTGCTTAAGATTCCCCTTGCAGGTATTAGCTTCTAATTTAAGAAAGACTAAAAGTTAAGTATGCAGGATTTGCCAAACAAAAATGCCCACTGATAACAATGTTCCAAATAAGTGGGACCTCAGTCTTTATTACTTCTTTACTTACTCTTCTGGGGTTGTAACCAACACTGTAGGTTGCAAACTACTTTCTCTGTTAATTGAATCTTTTATTTTTCTTGGATGGCCTGTTTTTTCTACCAGTTTGATGATGTTGTTACTTTGAATGTATCAATATTTTTAACTTCAGAAATGTTCTGTGTTGTGTTAGTTAAAGGTTGTATGTCAGCTTTGGCTGGACCATGGTTTTAGATGACTTGGCAGCTGTATGTATTTATTCCCTATGATGAGATTGTAATCACCTCTGTGGTGGAATCTGTTGTGAGCAGCTAAGTTGTTGCCTTTGGGGTGTGTCCTGTTTCCAGTATATGTGGGGATGCTTTGAGGAAGGTCTCTAGCTTTTTGGCACATTTTGAGCCATATTGCCTGCTGATCTTGGGTGTGCCATTTTACCTACTGATCTTGGGTTCAGCAGCCTCAGCAGCTAGCAGTGGAGTGAATTAGAAGAAGCCTCCAGCAAATAGAAGGGCTGTATATGCATAGGGAAACAGCTCAGGGGGCAGGAATGGGGAGGGGAGCTGTTGCATTGTGGGAAATTGCAGTCAACGTTATGAGGCAAAGTGTATATGAGCTGCTGTATGGAAAGTGAATTTGTTCTGTAAATTTTTACCCAAATCACAATAAAAATTAAAAAAAAAAAAAAAAAGAAAAAGAAGAAGCCTTCAGCTCTAGTGGCCTGAAACAAGAGGCAGAGCTGTATCCCAAGGTTGAGGGACCTTTACCCAGCCCCTAGAGCTGGCACTTTGAATGTGGACTTACAGCCTTCTAAACTGTAAGAGAATAAATTTCTGTTTGTTAAAGGCATCCACTTCTGGTATTTCTGTTATTATAGCACTGGAGAACTAAGTTATGTGAGCTCCATGTTAAGACTTAGGCATTTCAGTTTTGGCAATAAAGACCTTTTTGTCCATGTTACAGGTTGAATTGTGTCCTCCAAAAACGTGCTGTAAATCCTAACCTCTATGCTGATGGTTATAATCCCATTTAGGAATGGGTTGACTTTGTTATGTCAGTGAAGCAGGATTAGTGTAGGGTATATCTTGAGTCAGTCTCTTTTGATATAAAAAGGAGATTAAACAAGCAAGCAAAAGAGGGAGAGATAGGGACAGGAGTATGCCAGGACACATGGAGATCTCCAAGGAACCAAGAAGCAGGAGCTGAAGAGAAAAGGATCTTCCCCCAGTGGCAACAGAGAGAAAGCCTTCCTGTAGAGCTGGCACCCTGAATTTACACTTAGAGAGCTCTGGTAGCATAGTGGCTAAGGCACTTGATTGCTAATCAGAAGGCTGGCGGTTCAAACCCACCAGCCACTCCTTGGAAGGAAAGTTGGGCAATCTACTTCCGTAGTGATACCACCTCGGAAACCCAAGGAGGGGTTGTTATGAGTCGGACTGACTCGATGGCACATAACAAAAAAGACTCCTAAACTGTCAGAAAATAAATTACTAATCCTTGTCATCCTTCGAAACTGTGCTGCCTCTGAAGTTTTCAACTCTGAAATTCTGTTTTCTAACCATAACCTTCTCCTCTGTTTTCCTTAATTCCATTAAACCTGTTCTTTGACTTCTTCAAGACCAAGTCCCTTGATCCTTCCTAATCTCTCAGTCTCTGAGAGTAGTGTTGGATTTACTCCAATCCTACTACTGGTTCTTGAAGCCAGAATTTTCTATTGAATTTGTTATTGAAGTATAACATATATACAGAAAAGTACACAAATTACACTTTTAGGTTGGTGAATTTTCATAAACAGAACACTGTGTTATTAGCAACCAGATGAAGAAGGAGAACATTATTAGAACCCTCCAAACCTCCTCTGGTACCAACTTCAGAACTCAGCCCTAGAGTAATCACTTTGCTAACTTTGACCAGCATTGATTAATTTGCCTGTTTTAAACTTTATATAAATTGAATTATGCACTATGTGCTCTTGTGTGCCCATCAGTATTAAGTTTGTTAATTCATTCATATGTTTTTGTGTTTAGCTGT